CCCATTTCTTAGTGAGAACGGGGTGAGAGACAGTGTCAGAGGCCTTCGGAAAGCCCAGAAAGACTGTCCACTGCTACCCCTGCATCCAAGGGTTTGGTGACCTGGTCATAGAAGGCTGCCAAGTTGGTCTGACAGGACCTGCCTCTAATGAACCCATGTTGGTTGCTCCTAAGCATCATCTCCCCCCAGCCCCTCGTGGACATGTGTCAGGATAATTCTCTCAAAAAGCTTACCCAGAATTGAGGTAAGACTAACTGGCCTATAGTTTTCTGGGTCGTCCTTCCTCCCTTTTTTTGAAAATGGGAACCACATTGGCCCTCTTCCAGTCCTCTGGCACCACACCAGAGCACCACGAGTGCTCGTACAGCTGTGCCAGGGGTCCCGCAATGACCTCAGCTAATTTCCTCAGCACTCGGGGGTGGGGATCGTCCGGACCTGCTGATTTAAATACATCCAGTCTCTCTAGATGTTCCCTGACTAGATCTTCCCTGACCCTAGGCCTGGGTGTGCCTCCCCTGGGGCCTGCGGAGGGCCTGGTGGGGGGGCTGATCCAGTCCCTGCTCAAGAAAATGGAGGCAAAGAAATTGTTAAATAGGTTAGCTTTGTTGTCTGATGTGACGACCAGATTTCCTAGTGTGTCTTGCAGAGGCCCCACATTACCTGGTACTTTCTTTTTACCCCGTCTATCCTTCTCTATGATTATATGAATTCACGTTTGGAGGTCCCTTCTAGCCCGACTTCTGTATGATTTCTGTGAATTCCCAGAGCTAACCAACACTGGCCCCAGACATCACTGTGCTCCCAGGAGTTGAATAGTGTGGAAAGGGTTTAGCTGGTAACAAACAAAGAATGGAGTGGGGGGAAAAGAACCTAAATATCCTCTTGGCTTCCTCAGGTCCTGCCAACTTCACAGAAATCACGAAGGATTTTGATGAGAATAAAGAAAACAAAACTCCGGAAGGCGCCCAGGGGGAGGTCGACTGGCTTCAACAGTATGACATGGAGCGGGAGAGAGAGGAGCAGGAACTGCAGCAGGCGCTGGCTCAGAGCCTTCAAGAGCAAGTAAGAGCACATTTTCCTACCCCTGCATCTCTCCCCAGGAACCCAAGGGCAAGCTGGCCCATTACCCAGGCAGCTCATGGTCTCCCTGTGATGCCAATCTGGAAGAGAGTAGGCTCAGAAAAGCAGGTTAGTCTAATGAATGAATAGTAGGCTTGAATGTAAACACAGTTTAGGAGGAATCTTGGAAGCGCTGATTTCCTTTCCCTTCCTCTAATTCACATCCCATTAAGGCTTTGCAACCAGGTCTGACAAGAGTCCAAGGAGCTGGGTCCCCAGCAGCAGACCACCACACCAAGAGAGTCCTTTCCACCGCAACCCTCACTTAAACCAGGCTGTGATCAGCTGCCGCCCTATGGCTGTGAGATCCCATGAGGTGTGCAGGCAGGTTGCTCAGAAAAAAAGTCCAAAGCCTGCACCATGAGTTACAGCCCAGAGTACCCAAAGACCCAGTTCAAACCGTGGGCCAGGAAGAGCATGGTGCTGAGCTACAGATAGCCCCATTCTGTACCTGATGAAGCTTGATGTATTTCCAGCTGTGAGACCATGTACTCCAGGCCTGTGCTGCAGGGATCCCTTAACCAGGAATCGACCTACCAGTCAGACGCAGATTTGGCAAGGGGAATGCCCTTGGTCATATGTGGGCATCTAGAGATGCGGAGAGTTCGTGCAGTGTTGTGTGTGCGTCAGGCTAGATTTGCTTAGACAGCCTGGACTCAACTTAGTGTGTCATTGATATAGTTGCCGCTGCTACCGTACAGGAGGCTGAAGGTTGAACAGAAAAGCTGGTCTGCTTTGTGTTGATGTTTCAGTTCTCCATCCTGGGGTTGGGCTTTGCCATAAGGGCCAGGGGACAATCTCCTCGCCCTTCGTCATATTCCTGGAAATTCACTCTTACATGGTTGCACTCCATGCCAGACATAGTGTTGTTTCAGCCAGGCAGATGCAGACTCCTAAGTGCTTTAGGCCCCTGCCACACATTACACCTAAGAATTAATCGGTCGATAGAAATCCTGGAGAAGTGGGGCTGGAAGGGACCTCCAGAGGTCAAATCTAGCCAGCCCCCCTGCATGAGGTAGGATCAGCCCTGCCCAAACCACCTGAAACTAATCCGTAATCTAAACCCTTCGTAAGACTGCTGTCAACCCTGACACAACACCAGACCTCAGACCCAAGCCTGCTGCAGGTGAAACGGGAACAACAGCAGCCAATGACCTGCTTCTGTAAAAAGCTGCTAATATGCACCCAAGAGATTCCAGGTAGAGGCCATGCTCCTGCTACAGAGGAAAGCAAAGCCCCCCAGTCCATACCAATCTGACCATGGGGTAGAATTCCTTCCTGACCCCAAATATGGCATCAGTCTGACCCTGAGTGGAGCCAGGACTGTCTAGCAAGGACCCTGTGGGGTTGGTCCCAGCAGGAGCATTGGCACAACCCAGTCCCCAGCCCCAGCCTGGGCTGAAGTCAACACCCAGTGTCTTTAAGGAAGGTTTAAAAACACCCTGACACATGGAACAGAAAAGGGGATCGGGGCAACCAGCAAAGCACAGAAGCCTGGAAAATCCCTGTAGTAAAGCACACATTGCTATGCCTAGATCATTCCTGCCCAGTGGCTGTCCCACCTCTTCTTAAACACTTCCCAGTGATGGAGAGTCCCCAGCTTCCCTGGGAGTCCCTGCTCCACTGCGTCACTATTTTAACAGCAAAGCTTTTCCTAATTATCACATCTTAAGTTGTAACCCAGCCACACGTTAAAGCAATTAGTGGCTTCTTAAAATAAGGAATAAGCCACACAGTTTTTCCACAAAAAAAGTGGAATAACTTTTGAAGCTGGTTCCTATGATGCCAGTAATTGAACATGTGGCCAGGTGCCCCTGTGGCTGGCAGCCCAGATCAGCTGATGGGGCTCCCAGCTGTGGGGGCTTAGAAAATGAGAGTTGGAAGGTACCTCAGGAGGTCACATCTAGTCCCAGCTACATCATCCCAGCCAGGATTTTGTCTAGCCACGTCCAAAAAACCCTCCAGGGATGGAGACTCCACCAGCTCTCTGGGTAGCCTGTTCCAGTGCTTTGCTACCCTCCTAGCGAGACAGTTTTTCCTAATATCCAACCTCAGTGTTTCTTGCTGCAACTTGAGCCCTTTGGTCCTTGTCCTGTCATCTGCCCCCACTGAGACCAGTCCAGCTCCATCCTCTTTGCAGCCCCCCTGCAGGGAGCTGAAGGCTGCTATCAAATTCCACCCCCCACCCACCCACTTCTCTTCTCCAGACTGAATCAGCCCAGTTCCCTCAGCCTCTCCTCACAAGTCATGTGCTCCAGCCCCCCAAACCATTTTCACTGCCCTCTGCTAGACTCTCCAGTGTGTCCTGCTCTCTCTCCTGTGTCTCAAGCCTGGAACACAAATCCCTTGGCACACTTGATTGTATTGTACAGAGTTACAGGGTTGTGGTCAAGGGCACTGGGATGTGTTCAGACCCTGAATTAAGGAGCCCGCTTTGAATCACAGCATTGGAAGAGATGTCAAGGGGCATCTGGTATGGTGCAGTTGTGAAGTGTTTGAGATGAATCGCCCTGCTATGTAGTACATGTGGGGAGCAGTGCTGATTGGCTTTGGAAGTAATCACAGCCCTGTTCTTCAGCTGGAATAAATGTGACTATAAGGAACCCTTTGAAGGGTGATGGGAGGAGCATAGGGGCACGCGTCCAAAACTTTAGCAGGGTTTGAAGTGACCAGCTTTGGTTCTGAGAGGTGGTTAGCTGTGTTAGTCTGAAGTCAGTCAGGAGGTAAGGTAGATATGCACCTTTATAGGCTGACTAAATAAGATACATACAGAGAGAAAGTGCTCCCAAGCGTTCCTGAATCCAAGTTCACTTCATCAGACACTGAGCAATGCAGATTCCCAAGTGCTTTAGGATCGAAGGTGAGAAGCTTTGATTCTAACATCAGTCACTGCTCATTGATGCCAGTGTTTGCAAAATCTTTCCCTGGGGTTGGAAAGTAGGAAGAATTTTCCCTGAGTTTTGTGAAACTTATGGCTCAGTTACTCCAAGCACTTTTAAAACAAATGGTAGCCATTTTACTGTTTTAATTTAAGGGCTGTGTCCTACATTTCAGACAGAAAATCACCCTGTTTTTGATGGGGTTTTTTGAAAGCGCAAGGGGCTTTGTGCACTGGGGAAAGTCTTTTGCTGGATAAAAGACTCGCGAACTCTCTCTGATGCTTTTCAAACCAACAACCCAAAGACAACACATGGTGTTAGCAGGACATGCTCTGCTGCATACCAAGCCGTCAGCAGCTTTGACGAGTCTTAATTAAGGCCCATCCCCCAGGCCTCTTGCACAGGAACACTGGACACTAGCTGGTTGCAAACATTCCTTCGCGTGGAACTTTTAATTGACAATGTCAGGTTTGTTGTAGAAACCAGAGCAGCGCAGTGTCAGCGGGAACGCACACTGCAAGAATTTTAAACAGCCGGGGACTTCTGCGAACTAAGTTTTATTTTCTTCCAATCAGGAGGCGCGAGAACAGAAAGAAGATGACGACCTCAAGCGAGCTACCGAATTAAGTCTGCAAGGTGAAACTTATTTAACTCCCTCCATAACACTGCTTTTCAGGGGCCCAAAATCCACGTGGGATTCTGAAAGGCAGCTGGGAGTTTGTGTCCTTTTTCTCTTTGATGGGACTTTGCTCTGCTTGTGTCAGCTTTCTTGTTTCCGTTCCATTATGGAAACAAGGGCCAGGGAAAATCCCTCAAGTGGAAACTGTCCTAGGCTTTTTTGGTGGGGGGTTCATTCCTTTAATTCATCTTTTTTTTTAAGTAACATTGGCAAACATTTGACACATGGGTTTTGAAACTCTCTGTTCCCTGAAAGCCAACTCCCTATGGCAAGAGACACCTGCATCTGAGACATCTGAAGAGCGTTACCTTAGCTAGATTGACATGTGGGTGCCCCTGTTCATCCAGGAAAATGAGTAATACTTTATATTTAATCAAATGGCAGTTCTCAACCTTTTTAGACTCAAGGCACTCCTCACTGGATTCAAGGGACCCCTTGGAAAAGCTCTGAGCTTTTGCTTGGTTTTTGACTAGTTGGTTTTTGACTCTAGAAAATACTAGAGCCGTTCTGTTGTGAACAACTCGGATGGACACAACAGGAGAGAATGCTTGTGGCCCCTGGATTTCTGTTCGAAATCTCTCAGTTTATCTTGTGATTCACTTGTAGTGTTTGCAACCCAACACCCAACTGCTTGGCACTCCGTGGCATGCTTAAAAGGATCTCACAGCACCCCAGGGTTGGAGATTCAGTGGTGCAGTGTGTCCTAGCTCAGATTCAGCCAGTTTCTACTGCCAGTGTCCTGGGGCGTTGTTGGCAGCTTTCTGACTTCACACTCCCCAGCTGTGGAGTTGTAGCCAGACAAAGGCCTTCTCCAGCAGGCTGTGTGCATTGTCTCTACCACTGTCTCAGTCCTTAGGAGCCTGAGAGAACTTGGTGTTGGGATTTCAGTATTCTCTTGATTTGCAATCACTTAATTTTCTTCCACGCCCTGAACCTTGTCAGATGCCTTTCAATGAGCTACCACATCATTCATAAGTGTCAGCAGATACCTGCCTAAAGGGGTCTGCTAATAACCTTTCTCTACAAAGCAGCTGTTCTGTTTTAACAAGCAGCCAGCAGTACTTTCTTCTAGGGCCCTTTATGCGATTCTCGTAATCCAGAGGCTAGCAGCAGGCTGGGATTTAGTTAATCTATCATTGAGTTTCCATATGTGACCTATTTAGAGGGCAGAATTTCTCTTTGGTGATGAAATATATCAGCGCTGGCAGAAAAGCCTTCTTGGCTAAGAGCCGTTCAACTCGAGAACAAACTTCTGGAGGCTGTTAGATCAATACCGGCTGCTGCTTTATTTTATTTATCTATTTGTTTATTTTTTTGGAGGGCTGGCTTTAAGAACCTCTTTGGCAAAGAATTTTCACAATAGCTGGCATGATCCTAATTTAAAAAAGAGAGCATGTTCCCCCTGCTAGCCATGGACAGCAGAAGAGCAGAAAGCTCTTGTCCATCTGAGCTGCACAAAGTAGATTTGTTTAGTACAAAGTTAAATCCTCCTAAGAGCACTGTGAGTTGAGAACACTGTGTCCAGGGGGACACTGCTGCCCTTCTGGCTCTCGTACAGCCACGCACAGCAGCCTCAGATGCCTGTCTGAACTGAGCACGCCGCTCTGTGAATATAGTGCCTGGTTTGAAATGACAGTTCATAGCTCTTCTCCATTGACATGACAGCCAGCCCAGTAAGAGAGGTGCCATTGTTTCACTTGATCTGGGACCTGCAGAGCTTATGGCATGTATAACTGTGCAATCAAATTCAGCTAGGGGAGCTAAAAAAATAAATAAATAAAAATTACCAAGCAGCCTACATATTGCAGTAACTTTCTGCATTTTTTATTTGACCTACTGAATAAAAGGGTAGAACTTTGTATATGGATCTGCATGCTATAGGTAGGCTCTGTTCCTTGAATCCAGTATACAGCATAAGTTATTCCACTTTATTTGTCTGACAAGATAATAGAGAAGTTCTTGGAGTGCCCAGAGCCCCTTGCTTTTGTCCGTGAGGAGCCTTGAAACTTTAAACATTTTCGTTAGGGCCAGCCACTAGAGTTGGACGGCCTTGCGAGTTGTGTGATCGCGCCTGCTTTCCCATACATTTCCTGCCATGTTTTCTCACACAGCATCATTGTGTTTGTGCCATTTAGAGTTTAACAGCTCTCTTCTGGACAGTGTTGGCTCTGACGAGGACTCTGGGAACGAGGATGTTCTTGACATGGAGTACTCGGACGCCGAAGCAGAAGAGCTGAAAAGAAACGCTGAGGTAGCAATCCATGATTTTGGGTGCTGAATGAGAAATGAGCCCCTTGTTCGGCTGTTCAGCACTTGCTGTTTGGGAGCAAATGCATCTGTTAACCTTGAAAAGACACAAGAACAGAAGAGGTGCCATGTGCTGAGGCAGACTGTTGCCTCCTGTCTCTTGTCACACAGCAGCAAAAAGTGAATCTGAAAGGGAGAGTGAACTGGGTCTGACCAGGGTATTTTTCCCCTGTTCCCCTCCCACCTACAGCCTCCAGCATTTAAGGTCTAAGATGTTCTGATTCAGAAGCCGTGCCCCTCACTCCCCTGCTCAATAGCTCCTGATACCTCCGTCCTCCAAGAACAGGCCCAATCCCTTGGTGAATCTGGCTGAAGTCTATACTTCTACCTCCTCTGGTGACAACGAGTTTCACCCTTTAATGGGGTGAAAAAGAACTTTGATTTTGTTAAGTAGTTGCCCTCTTCATTTGACAGACAAAACGATATAAGGGCTTTCCTCACTGCAAGAATTGCTACCAAGAAACCTTGAGTGTGGTTTTGAAGGGAAGGGAAGGGGGGTGTAGCAGGGGGAACCAAGAAAGGGTGATTACTACTGCTACAAGTGTTTTTTGTGTGTGTGTGTGAAACAAAGTGGGTGATGGGCCCATTAAGAAAGGAAGTCTTTTAGACCATGCAGTGGTTGCTCTGAGGCGTTGGGAGAGAAGGTGCATGAGCTCTGGGTCATGTGTCACACAGCTCATCTCCCATCTCTCTGTTATGCTCTCTGCCCCATGGAGCAGCCCTGCCTGAGAGCTGCTTGTCTCCTTTGGAAGGAACATGTGCTACAGCCATGGAGAAAGGGGTAAGAACGTGTGTTGATTACTGACAGCACTGTGGGGGAGAATCTCTGTGCCCCCCTCTGGGCATGGACTGCCAGTTCCACACCCTGCTTATCAAAGGTGTTCTTAACACTGTAGTAACCAACCTGGCTCCCAGGGTGGTTTATTTAACTTTATCTCTGTGGACTTAGTACTGACATCTGTGGAAATCATTTACTTGGGGAAATTAGCTTGACAGTGCAAAGCAAAATGGAGAGCACGTATCATCCAGTTGGTCCAAAAGGGAGAGCTGTGCTGTTCCACTGGTGACTGGGGACATGGAAACAATTCAGAAGTGTCCCCCACCCTCCAGTTCTCAAGGGATACTCTTTTCTTGTTGTCCGGTCCAGTTTCTATGCACCTGAGTTTATTTCTTGTTCAGGCAGCTGCTGTGGACACAGGACCCAAGGCCAAATTCTAGCCATAGGACTTGTTCTGAATCCGGTGCCAAAATAAAAGCAAATCCTTTTAAACTCTGTTTTCCAGGTAGGAGAACTCCCTCATTCCTATCGTCTCATCAGTGTTGTCAGCCACATTGGAAACACATCATCTTCGGGTAGGGAATATACACTTTGGTATCTTCTTTTAACTGCTCTTGCACTGGTTAAAGATACGTAATGTTGAGTTACTGTAACAGCATCGTACCTAGGTTCAGGGAAACATTTAAGATCCATTTTCTTGGTCACTATTAATTAGTAAGAATAACCTTTCAGTTTGTAATTGAGCTTCCAAAAGAAATCTTTTTCCAGTGGCTGAACAATATGATGTTTTGTAGGGCCCAACCACACGTTCAAATGGAAGCTGGATAGAAACCAGCTATAAAGTGGTTGCACTTTTTACAAACACTGTTGTAGCTGGTCAGTTCTTTTTGTAGCTGGATGGCCACTTTTATGGTGTGATAATTGCTTTGCACTTGTGGCTGGTCTGAATTTATTGTGATTAACCCATTGATGGTGTGACAATTACGTTGCATATGTGGCTGGTCTAAATTTGTTGCGTGATTAACCAGTTTATTGCATAATATATGTAATGTGTGGCAGGAGCCTAAGAAAAAGAGGGCTAGAAGAGTCTGCGTAAGTCATGAGGGCTTTCCAAGTTGCTTGAGGCCAGGCAGTCTCATCAAGGTGTCGAAACAATTAGTTGATGGTTTTTTGAGCTAGCACGTGAAAAAAAGTGTCGGTTTTCGTTTTGAAGGACATTACATCAGCGACGTCTACGATATCAAGAAGCAGTCCTGGTTCACCTACAATGACCTGGAAGTGTCCAGAACTCAAGAGGGCACCGTACAGTGTGACCGAGACCGAAGCGGCTACATCTTCTTCTACATGCACAAGTAAGAGAGTCTTGGAGCTTAGGGCAAAAGTGTAAAAAAAAAAAAAAAAAAAAAAAAAAAAAACCATTTT